TCTTTCATTTCTCTGTGACCTCCACCCTTACATTATGTAAGCCTATAGACTGCAAAACTTGCACATCTAAAGTGTGCATATTTTTATTGAAAAATGAAGCCAACCCATTATGACCATACCTGTATGCCAATCTTGATCCTCTGCAACTGAAGAGATAGCCAGACAAGGAATAAAACCTTACGTTAGCACCATGGCTTTTGCCCACGTGATATGGTAGCATAAAATTTTCCATCGGTAGAAGCAGCTGATTCTGGAATAACCCCCTCTCCAGATGTTTGAAGTCTTGGTGAGGAAGGTTTTTTGTGTGTGGCTGAAATATAGTTAATGTGGTCTCTGGCTTTGATGACCTTAGCACTGTTTGTTCAGAAACCTCTTGGGGAGTAGCCAGACAAGACTTCAAAAGGGATTAAACCTGTCCATTTTCTAGGAGGTATTCTTTCCATAATATTTGCTGAGAGGCTGTGAAGGAGGCAAGATAAGAGAGTACAGCTAAAATGAAAAGAGTTGCTCTCTGGGAAGGCGTGTCCTTTGAATGACTTTATACTCCACTCCCAGGTCCATTGCCCTACACTTCTTGATCCTACTCCAATATGTGACAGTGAGTCTGGAAGCATTGTTGCAGTTAGAAGAGTTTTTTGTGGTTGCTCTCCATCAGCCACCAGGCATTAGGGCCTCTCTTGCTTCAAGATCTGCATGAGGAAATCTGTAAAGTGAACCAAGTTCAGTGCTACAGGGAGCAGCTGCCACCCAGGAAGCACCAAAACAGAGGTGTCTGTGCTATCCACAGTCACAGGACAAGAACAGAAGCTCTCTTCTCCTGTGTCCCAAAGGAGAGGAGATCAAAACGGCCTTTTCATCCAGATAGCGGGTTACTTTAATCTCCCAAACTTCTGCCAGCTTGGGGGAAGCCTTTTAGTGAGTAATACAGTATAGAATCAGACCCTGAATAGGTCTTTCTTGTATTAGCATAGAGAAGCACTCTCCATTCCTGTTTTTTCCTTCTGGTTCATTGCCCTCCCTCCCCTAGTCTGTCCTGCTTGACCACGTGCTTTCTTAAACGGCCAAGAACATCCATCTCACTTTTGTCACAGGATGATGCCTTTTGTGCAAACATAAATATTTAGAGAAGTTTACAAAAGATTAAGCTTCATCGAGTCAAGTATTCCTGCTAATGCAGTGTTGGGACAAGTCAGGAGGGAGCAAGAGCCTGGGCTGCTGTGCACAGCTGTTGCAAGATCAAACTATGGAACATTCATTTTTGACTCCACCAACCTCACTGATCAAAACCATTTTCAAAGTTGGCTGCTATTTTTTTCCAGAGTGAAATCCTTCCCATCAAAACAGCTTCTTCAGTGTGCAGGCTTTGTCTGTGTTGTGAATCTCTTGCCTCAGTTTTATTGTTATGCAAATTCCTGATGTAGATAATGCTGCATTTACTTGAACAGTGAAAAAAAAATTCAAGTTAGAGAAGTTCTTAAGATGCAACTCAGAGCAAAAACAGTTGGGAGATCTGTGATTTGATAGTTTGGATTTCACTCTGATCATCAATGTCTGAGAAAAATTATGCTGTATTCCTTATTAATGTAATACAGGGACACTTCAAAAGACATAAATGAGAAAGTCCTGTGTAAGTAAGAATATGAATCAGGAACATAAGAGGATTTGGTTTGTGGGTTTGGGTTTTTTTTTTTCCTAGTAAGGTAAAACAGACAGAAGTTATTCCAGAATTTATGCAGCAAAGAAAGTGATAAGATTATAGAACTACATGCAAGGCAAATGGGTGCATGTGTGCAAACACACCAGCATATCTTTCCTTTAAGGGGCTGTGTCCATCTTCAGTCTCAAGCACTGATAGTTTGGCTTTCTGCTCCAATGGGAAGTGGATTTGTCATACTAGCTAAAATACTATCTACCTTTTGGACAGCTCACAAGTAACACCACTGTGGTGATGACTGGTGAAAAAATAGATGTCTGGCATGCTTTTCTTCAGTGCTGCTTTGCTGCTCCTTTCTAGCGAGGAGACCACAGGAAATCCACAGGAAATCCTACCTTCCTAGAAAAATATCCTGCTTCCTCCTAAGGACCTGTGGATCAGGCAGCTCAACTTGACTTTGGGCAAATTGAAAGAGAATATTCTTTCATAGGAAGTGGCTCAAGCTTCATTGTTTGAGACATGGAAAACCACAGTAGAAAAAAAAACAACCAGTCTGACCAAGATGACCCTTAAAAGCCTCTTCTAACCAACGTTTTTACAGTTTAGTGAAGTCACAAAATCTAACGGATTTTTCCCATCTTTGGAATCTGTGCTTCTCTGATAAACTTTGGTAGGCCTTGTATTTTGTTCCATTCTTTTTAAATAATAACTTTTTTTTTCTGATATTTTAATTAGAGATGCATATAATTATTGTTTTTATTGCCAGTTTTTAATTAATTATGCTATTCTCTGGGAATACTAGAAATTTTTAAGCATTCTTCCAGCAAGCTGAATTTGCAGCACCCTAATACTTTCAATATATTCCTGTAACTGAACAAATTTAATGAACCTAAAGAGGTTATTTTAAATTTAGTAATACAATGAGAAATATGCTTAAGGTTGTAGGCCTAAGACTTTGATGACTAATGTGAATGGACAAATTAAAACTCACTTATCATTAAACTTGCAAATGTTGCTGAAAGTAAGTTCGTGGTTCAGGCTGAAGTACAATCTAGCTGAATTACAAAGGAGTTTGCTGTTTGTGATAGATCTCACCCACGGTTTTTGAGATCAAGGTGTCAGCTCAAAGAAGAAAATCTGAGGAAGATATATGGTGTATATAAAATTTGGGTTAGTTTCCTTTTCACAGAGTTTTGTCTCCTGAATAATTTCCAAATTTGGATCCACATCCTGCATCACCTGATTGCAGTGGATGTTTCTTGCTGTGCAAAACAGAGATGGGCCAAATCATGAAAAGGTAATGAGGTGCCCTCAAGCTGCGTTGATTTGAGACGTCATGCAGTTTTTTTCATCATACCATAGTTTTTGGTGGGGATCCATACAAAGAGACTGACATACAGAAGTAAATCCTCCCAAACTCTGCCTGTGCTTCATAGAAAGCAAACTCCCAAGCATATGAGGTCTAGTATGGAGTTGATTCAGGAGCCCAACTCTTTGGGGAGTAATTTTTGTCCTTTGTGAGTAACTGCTGAACAAGATGAGTGGTGAGCCCTGCTGTCCAGATACTTCATCTAAACTGGAGTGTGGCAGGGTGGGCTAAGCTTGATATAATGTTCTTCCCAATGTGCAAGTCTCTCAGCTGCAGGAAGTTTACTAAAGATGCATCTCCCTCAATATGAAAACTCATCACTTCTGAACTTGGTGGAGCCTTTGATAACAGCATGTGGATAATATTGGGTTTCTTTAGGAAGCAGCTAATAGAAAGTACTGAAGTTGTATGAATGTACTACTGTTTTTCTCATCTAGGAAAAAGCTTTTTTGTTTTTTAAATTGATACATTTAATATCTCCCACAGCAATTAAAGCCAGAAAAATGAGAAGAGAGATCCTGACAGTTATGTACTTAGAAATTCTTTAAATCTCTCAGTGAAGACTGTTCATTGGTTTCAAACATTTCCTTTCAGGCAAACCTTAAACTAGAGGAATTAGGTTCAGAAAAATGAGTTGCTGTGAGATTATGATTATTTTCCACGATTGTGGTAGCATATACAAAGTAGACAAAGCTTTCCAAACCAAGCAGAGGATACAGTCCCGATTCCAAAGCACATGAGTGTAAAGGGGCAAGGTAGGGAATAGGAGGAATGCAAGCCAAGTATTCAATGAATTACAGCTGGTAGAAAGTGATGGCAATTTTTCTGGAGGAGAAGAGAATGAAATTTATTCTTGTTTAGTGCAGAATATACTTAGTTAGTAATTCCCCTCAAACTGGAATATGAAAAAAAAAAAGTTTTGTACTCAAAATCTGTATTGTAGTGGTAGAAAAGTTAGAACAAGTAGTTTGGAGGGGAAAAAAAAAAAAGAAAAAACCACCCACAAGCCCAAACCAAAACATTCAAACATAGGTGTACAAAACATACAGAAATAAGTCTAAATATTATCTTCCCTTATCGTTGTGTCCTTGAAAAGCAGGTCCTTTCTTCCAGGTTTCTTTTCAGCTCAGTGACTTTCTGGGTTGCTGCGAACTGCGTAGTCCCTCTGGGTCTCGCATGACCCAGTCGCTCTCTTTTTAGAGGAACATGCCAGAATAACATGAAACAAACAACTAAAACAAATGCCATATGTCACAGCTTGCAAGATGAAAGTCTTAGCTGAACTGGTGTCTTTGAGGAATATGCATTTATTGACAGGAAAATATTTTAACAAAAGAACTTGGAAAATCCAAAACATTTAAAGATAATTCTTGCAAGCAAGAAAGTGAGTGTCAGTCTTCCTCCCACCACCACTCCATTTTCACATCTAATCGTTAGTTTGTTTTCTATTTAAAGGGTTATCAGTAGTAACATTAGAATTTTTGAGGTAAATAGGGAGAGACACTTCTAGCAATGTCTTTTCTTTATAACCTACTCATTTAAAAAGTTGCTGCTTAAGATTAAGGAAGTTTTTTAAGATTGATTTAAGCAAACAGTTGAGGGGAAACTGAGAAAATATGTGGAGAGATGTGTGCTGGACCCTCTGTAGTACAGAGTTGAGTACATGCCGCTCTGCTAGGAAGGTCTCTGACGGGCATATCAAGTTCCACAGTGTATTTTTTACCTCAGTTTGTATATTTTGTCTTTACCTAGTCATATCTTGAGGCTCGATAAACAGAAGTACCATGCCTGGATGTCTTGACAATTACCATCCCCAGCAGTAACAGGCACGTGGAATATTTGGACAAACATTTGTTTCTATTTTCAAAATTTGCTACATGACTGTAGCATCACAGGAGATGAGATTTTAAAAATTAATAAATTTCCTTAGGATAATAAGAGCTCTGATTTGGGGATATTGTTTTCTTTTCTTTGCAGGAAGAAGGTATCGTGAAGGAAATAGACATCAGTCATCATGTCAAGGAAGGTTTTGAAAAAGCAGATCCTTCTCAGTTTGAGCTGCTGAAAGTATTAGGACAAGGTTCATATGGGAAGGTAATTTTTATTGTTATCTAATCACCTAGAGCAATACTGAAAATATAATATCTTTTCTCTGAGTTAATTTACACTGATAACGTCTGTATATAAATTATATTGTAAAGGCAGATAAGCAAAGCTCTCTTATGTTCATTTTAATAACACTTTCGTCTTTTAGCTTGATTTCTGCATATAAACTAGTTTAGCAAATAGTGCTTATGGCTCTGGGCAGTGAGCATCACTGTTTATAAAATTAGATTCTCCTCCCTCTTTCTGACCTGTTCACCAGGGAATTGAGTGTGCCACTGCTGGAGGATATGAATAGGAACACTCAAAGACTTAAAAAAGTTAGATGCACAATTCTCACTAAGGGCAAATGAGACGTCAAGCACATTTCCAAGTCCCAGACTGCTGTTAAGCTCACACTCAGAGACCTGAGAAGATCCTGGAGATGAACCCTAGTGCAGAGGACAGCAATCATTATGGTGAGATCATAGGGGGGAAAAAAACCTGGTTACATGACTACGAGTTAATTTAGGGAAATAGCATTCTTCACATAACCTTAAGACCAAGGATTTTCTGAATCCCAAAGACAGTTCTTCTTCAGCAGGACATGTTAGTTGGAAATGAGAATATGAATGAAAGATGGAAAGTAAGAGGGAAGAGTCAATTCTACCTTAAAGTCTTTCCATAGTTTAAAAAAGACATTGAAACCTTTGGTACAGTAAACTTAATTAAAACCAGACATGAAAAATCTTATAATTGTAAATATATTATTTTGTGGGGTTTTTAAAAAATGCTTCCCAATCAGGGCCTTAGGAGGCATATTGAGAGTATTTATCAACTTCCTGAATATTCTAGAATTATACTGATAATTAAATCTATTAGAAGTTCCCTGAGATGAGAGGTATCAGGAAAGTTAAAATTCAATACCAAGTTTTAATCTAGAGAATTTCTGGAGAACACAGTGACGATATTTGAGTTTTGAAAATTAAATAAATGTGAAAAATCAAACAACTCAAAATTAGGTTTACTGTATGACTCAATACAAGAAGGAGAAGAGCGAGAGAAGGAAATGTCTTCTGCAAAAGCAGCACAGGCAGAATGGCCAGTTTTCAGATTCAGGCAGTAAAGATTTTAGAAATGGCTCACTGTCTGTCTGATAGTGTACTGGCATATTTCAGTATTTACTTTTTGAGTTGGTCTTCTAGCTTTAGCCTTTTTATAAGCAGAATGTCTAGTCTCTGCCACCACTTGCCAAAAGGAGATCTGATTTCTGGGAGATCAGAGTGAGGGTATGGACATTATACTTGTTTGAAGCTGTGTGTGATTACAAATGACTTTCTGTTTCTTATCCAGTCTTCAACCACCTAAATTTTCATCACCTTGGTACTTGAGCTAATGGTTCAAATCTTAAGTGTCCGGGAATGCAAGCCTTTAGGTTTTCAAGTTGTTCACCCAAGGCCTAAATAATTTCTTGAAGGATTAGAGATAATTTCTAATGGAGTGACCTCCACACTCTTGAGAGGCATAGCACTTGCTTGGCTTTCTAGATTAGGATTTGGTGATAACCCAATTGTTCCAGCTCAAGGTGTTTTGCTACTTCAGGTATTAGTAGCCTGAGGTGCTTGCAAACATATCAAAATAGAAAATTGAAAGTCATGCTCAGCCACATGCCTATGCTTTTCTGGGAAACTAGTATAGTATAGCTAATATAACCAGTCAAGTAAGCACTCCAGGGCCACTTAGTGGTTTCAAGAGTGATGTAGCTTTACCTTTAAGAATAATCAGAAGGATGACATCATTTTGCAGTACAATGCATTTTCGTTTGTTCTGTTTCCTTTTTGGTTTGATGATTGTTTTGATGTCCTCTGAAAAAGAACACAGTGTTCTTGACTCATCTTTTTTCGAGGGAATGCAGACAAGTGCCCTATCCCATGCTAGAGGGAACAGCTGACTAGTGACTAGTAACGTAAATTGCTAATTTTGCTTATTATAGCAATACAGGTAGTGGAAGTTTTGCAGACAAGATATTTGTACAAGTGCAGCCTAATATTTCTGCAGATGCAGCATGCTGTGTTGTTCTATGTGCGCTACTGCTTAAAACCATTATCTTAAGGGTTTGGGTTTTGGCCTTTTTTTGGGTAAAAATTCTATAACCATTTTTACAGAATAATAATACAGCTGAAAATCTGGTGTCTGGGCAAGCTTGCTTTTGACTTTCTGCTCCCTTTCAATGTAAAGCAAAAATTAAATCTTTTACTTGAGCTGGATAGAAAAATATCCTGGCTTTTCTCTGTAAACTTCTAAATGGATTGACTTCCTGTTAATGCTGAAGCAGCTGAGCTTAATTTATCATGAATGTTAATGAAAAACACTTCACAAAGTCTTATGTGTTCCTGTTGGATCCGGATTTCATCATTTGTTCCTAGAGTTGTGAGTGCTGGAGCTATTTGTATGTTCATCAAACTAGGAAACAGGAGATGGGAACAAGCAACATGTGCCCAAGCTCAGGGAGTCAGGGCACCTTGAGGAACTGTGCATATCTCCTATACACAGGAAACATCTTGAGAAGGAAAATCTCACCAAAACGTATCAGGTCATATGTAGAAGTGTGGTAGCAATGATGCTGTCAGATGTAAGAGTCCTGATTAAGGTGTTTAATTTTTTTTTCTATTTCTAGCTTCTGTACCTGTTTGGTAAAAGTAGTTCTCCCTCTCCACAAACTTTTCCTTAAAGGGTGTTTGAGAAGATCCTGATCTGTTTACAGAGTTTTATTTTAGTAAGATAAGTCTTTCAACTTGCAAATCATGAACTAGAAACAGACTTCCTCCTTTTTTTTTTTTTTTTTTCCTTTTTGCATTTTAGGTGGAGACAGTTAGTAAAGCTGCATGGTTCCTGGACAGGGAATTAATAAAATAATTGCCACAGAATTTTTAATCTAACTAGACATTCATTAGTTACGTAATTTCACCTTGGCTTTTTTAATTTATATATTTGTAATTATATGCTATGTATGGGTGACTGTATTTTTATTTCTGCATTTGTCTTCACTTCAGCTTCTGTCCAGTAACACAAGTGCTGAAATAAAAAACAAAAAAATAAAAAAGACACTGTTGTCTGGTACTTCTAACCTCAGCAGACAGAGTAAGTCCTGGGAATCAACTAAAAGATTTGTTTATTTTATTTTCAATTGTTAAAACACTGAAAGTTATATAAAGACCAAACTAAGCTACTGATTTCTTTGTTCGCTACCCTTCCAGTGCTCACATGCACTCAGGGGCAGATAAATATTTGCATGGAGTAAAACAAGTAGGATATATTTTTAGCTACAATGTTAGTTTATTTCAATTAAAAATTTACACTGTCAGAAGATGAGGCATAGGAGACTGTAACGGGGAAAACTATACTTATTATACTAACAGATTTTCAGCTGTATGGACTTTCTGCTTCAGTTATATCTTAGGCAAAGTCACCATTAGTGATTTCCAGCATAGAGCAGACCACACTGGTTTTTCTCTTTAATGTAATTGATGGCAATAATTTTAAGACTCTGCACATTCCTAAACACAAATGAGACATAATTTTTTTAATGTAAAGTTGGTCAGAATATGAAGAGGTATGTGCACCCTGATTCTGACTCTTCACCCAATTTTAATTGGATATATAAGGGCAATTAATAATGTCAAACATATTTTCTTTGTGAGGTGATAAAGGCTTAAAATTGATAATTTCTAGAGCTAGCTCAACCAACTGCAGGTGAAATAGATACGAAGTGTTTTCAGCTAGTAATGTTCCCTGGATTTCCCGAATAACAGTATCTATTCTCCTGTCAAATGCAGTAAGGCTTGTAAGTAGAAATTCAGTACTCATCTATACAAAACATTTACTTTTTACAGGTATTTTTAGTAAGGAAGATCAAAGGATCTGATGCAGGCCAGCTTTATGCCATGAAGGTACTTAAGAAGGCAACTCTGAAAGGTAAGAGTTGGGACAGTGGCTGCAGTCTCTATTTCCATGCTACTTAGTAATTACTTTTTCTTGCCATTTTTTGCATCTCTGCTGCTTTATGGTATATGAGTGCATAAATATGTCTCTGCTATCCTCTGTAGCAAATGTTCTAAAAAACACACAAAAAAATATATTACCTATAAAGTGTGGGAGAAGGAAAACAAGTGTTTGGAGTTTCCCAGCTGCAAGCTTTCTTCATTTTCTTAGTGTTATTTATAGGACTTCTACTGGGTATACGTTAATTTGTAATGCAGTGTCAGTGTCTTTCTGTTGCTGAAGTAAATAAGGATATTGTTGAAGTAAAACCTGGCTGCTACGGGGCAGAATGGCCTTCCCAGCTGGTGCCTCCTCACTTTGTGCCTGAAAACTCATGGGAGCGTGTTTTCAAGTGTGAGGAGTCATTTTGAGGTTGTTAAGATCATGCTGTTTCCTAGCTCGTGACCAGTCAGTGCATGGACTGTAGGAGGCCAGGGGCAAATGACTGATGTTTAAAAGCTGGTCATTCTCACCTGGGACCACTGGCTGCTACAGCTTCACTCAGATGGAAAAGAAATTGATAGTGAAGCCCAGGACTGAAAAGCAAACAGAATAAATTTGGTCTTAGTTGAAGTTCTTAGTGTTTGTTCCTCCATGGAGCTAGGAAGATTTAGTTGTCTTGTTTCCCTGACCTAGCACTGTACTCTGTTTTATCCTCTCAAAAGCCTGACACTTTTCTGCAGATAAGGTGGAGAGCATTCATTTTGCCTAAAGCAGATATTTTGCTTTCTCTTGGACAGTGTCATTTTGTGCAATGCAGCATAGTGCCTAAATTTCTATCCTAATGTGAAGAGTAATCATTTTGAAATAGTTCGCATCACTTAAAAAAACAGATTTCTTTAGCATGCCTCATTTTGAAGAAACAAAATACAAATTAATATACCAGTAATTGGAAGGTAGAGTTACACAGGTGGCGGCAGGCAGAGCCAGCACCTCTTCTGAATACTCGTCAAAAGGAGGAATTAGCACACCGGGCGTTTAGACAATCCTTTCCCCTGAGAAAGCCTTTTCAGAGAAAAATTAGTTTGAAGCACTGCTGGCGTGCTGATCTTTGTGTTTGGAATGTAGATGGATGTTTGTTCTAGCAGAAGAGCATACTGTAAATAAACTCTTAAATAGCACTGGATATTAAGACATATAAAGTAATAGGACAGGCCTCTGTGCATAATGTGTATGATAGAGTGATTCTCTGACTTCTCAACCAAGAGCAGGACTGTGAAATGCCCAAACTGAGCTTAACTCAGTTCTTGGAGTCTTCTCCACCAGGCAAAGTCATCTCCTGATGGGCATGGTATCTGAACAAGGGCTGTGTAACCCCTTAGACATCAATATGTACAAGAAACTTATTTCTCTTTCTTTTGACGACCCATAACTTTTCACCCAAAGTGAAAACTTGGTATTCCCTTTTTTGCTGTGTAACTCTGAGGTGTGTTGAGCAGCTTTTGAGAAGGGGAGGGTTTCTTTTGCATCCCCGAACACTTGATTGTTTCTTAATATTTGATGGCTAAATATGTAACATTAGATTACACTGGAAAAGAAAAGATCTGTATTATGGCAATATCTTAGGAAATCTCAAGATTTAGATGGTGATTTTAAGTTACTCATATTGTACCATCAAACTTCTAGTCTTTCAAGAACAGGCACCTCTGTGTTTGCAGTTCTCTGGTTCATTATAGCACAGAAACATTGCTCTCCTCCCTTGGCTGTTACAGTAGGCTATTTATTGTTTTCTCAAGTGTGGGTCACCAAATTCAAAAGTAGAGGCTAATTTTTGATTTTGCTGGATTGCATTTCTCTCCCCTTCAGACTACTTACCCCTCTGACTGCTAGCTCTGGATTTCCCATTAATCTCAAGATAATTAGCACATCAGTAGCAACTAATCTGTCCACACTAGTTTTTACAAGTAAAGTAAATTTGACAGCTGTTTAACTCAAAGTACAAAAATAAAGACAGAATCCCATTGTCACAGGGCAAGTGAGACAAGCAACAACAAGGATTACTGTCACTAAGCTTCCATGTAACTTTTGGCACTGAGATAATATTTCTGACAGCTGAATGTCATCTTTTAGGTGAGAGTGCTGAATTGTTGCTGACTACCTACACTCAGAAAGGCTAGAAGTCTGTGAGTGATTTATTATTGTGTTAAGCCATGAGAGCAAAGTATTTGTTAGTGCTGCGTTAAGTATTTCCTGACAAAAGGCATGCTAGAAAACAAAATTCTGAATGATTTTGCTTTCTGAC